AAACGTTTAAAAGTTTACTTAGTTTATTTTGATGAACGATTTATTCATGCTTAACATACGATGATCAATGTTTTAAGAGAATCACAGTTAAATGCCACAAAATGGTGTACATTTTATGCTAATACTTACATATGTGAATTTAGGATAGGGGAAAGTGAGTATAATTCATTCATTTGAGATATTATAAGGCACAGCTAATATTGTAATATAATCAATAATATTCGTTAAATTCTGATTCAATCTACTGAAAAATCTTTAGTTAACTAATATTGTAATGTATGCTACTTGTGTTGATAGAAATAACTAGTATGTAACACCGATCGGAAGTGGAATGCCTGTCAAAAGAAGGCTGAGAAGATTTGATTGAAGAAGATAGAAAGAAAGGAATTGAGAATTAGAAGGATCACGAAGAATGTAGAGGAGAATTGATGGAAGATATGCAAATGAAGTATTTGATATATGATGGATAGTGGCTAGCAGTGGAATCGAGGATGTGCGTTTCGTCCTTTTCGGGACTCATCAGCTGGATGTACCTGCATCTCAGAGTTGATGTGTCACTCTGGGACTCGAACCCAGTATCTTTCACCTCGAAATGTCACTACGTTATCCACTTAGCTATTGAGTCCCGATGCTTGTGAATTTAGACTATATCGAGGCAAAACGCACAGTATGAACATATATTCAATAAGAGACTGATCCATTACAGTCCTAAACGTCAATGGGAAGTTTCAACCAAACAATATCAAGTGAATTTATTTGATATATAGTTTTGACATTTTAAAAAAGAACTCTATAATATTGTGATAATCAATAAATTGGTATTTCTCACTTAAACTCTCATTTACTACCATAAACAATTCTGTAGTCTTTCTTCATCTCAGCAAAGTAAAAAAAGAACAACACATAAAATACTCAGCGGTTCTTTAAAAAATCTAACACTTTTTAGAGTTAACATAAATGAATAATTTATTAAGCTGTCAATTAGACTTTGATATAAACATGATTTTATCATGTACTTCATTAAACCTTACTACATAGAAAATATGTTTACTTAATCAGTTAGATTCTTTATAGTTTAAAAGTCTACATAGAAATTTAGCTTTGAAATTAGTGATGAGATTAAAGTTTATACATAAAACAGTATCAATTGTATATATGTAAGTTGATTTTCATGCGGTGATATTTGTTACCAAAACTATTAGTATAAGAATAGTAGTTCAAATTCGGATTCAGCTGTCAATAAAACTCTTTTTGATTAAGATAATAACTTTTTGCCAGATACATATTTTGGTAGTGAATCATTTAGTTTATAATTATGAAAATAGTAATATCCTTTAAGAAGTTTTTGATTTACATCAGAGAATAACTGTTGTTAAATAATGTCGAAGATGAGGTTTAGATTCAGTAGTTGTATATTATCATGCACTTTATGAGACTGGAATTCGTATTGGGTCATATGTATATTGTTGGTACACATTAGCTATTTATTTTATGTAAATTGATTATTAAATGTACATTAAAGTGATTACTTTAACAGAAGGGGGTCCTGGGTTCGAATCTCGTGAGGCGGGATCGTGGATGCGCACTGCTGATAAGTCCCACAATAGGATAAAACGGCCGTCCAGTGCTTTCAGGTTTTCCATGGTGGTTCAGCTTCAATTGACTCATGATCTCAGCTATATAAAATAGTGATTACTTACCTGTTCGACACTATTGTGCTCAACTGTAAATAAAAACAGAATAAATGACAAGTGTGTATGTTTCTTTTAGTTTTGTATCTATTGTGTACACTATATATCATTTCGATAGACTATATCGTCATGTTAATCTCTTGTTAATAACAAGAAAAATCAGGAATTTGAATTGTCTCGAAGTTATTGTTATCAATGTACGAGTTCGATTTGGTACAAAGTCTTAAAAAAGAGACGATCAACAGTGTGTGTTGAAATGACCAATATGTAATAATTCAATGGATTGGATTGTGGGTGAAATAAAGTTGAGAAATTTCTAGTCAGAATATATACAAGCAACATAAATTGAAATAAATAATACCATAACTATTGATGATCCCATATATTTGATTAGAAACTACGGAATCCATAAATTTAACATGAGACAGTAAAAATAAAGTTAATTGTTTGGTCATAGTGTGGTGTGGGTTACTTATATCTACATAAGTAATATATGGTGACGGTCAGTCATAGAATGTATTTTGGTAGAAGATCGATGAGGAAAGAATAAGAACGAAGCGCAATCGATATGAAAATGCATGAACAATGAGATCCGAGAAGATGGACTGATATTTACAAAAGGAACAATCAAGATTGAGACAATTGATTGTCATTTTGCAAATTAATTGTTTACTGTATGGTTATCAGATTTCAGTGAGATAGTCTGTGCTTAAATACATTCGATTGTCCCCATATGTGTTCTTGTTCACTGCAATGGGTCCATTGAACTACGTATGTTGAAGTCGAATTGTTTACATATTTAATTGCATTTCCTATCAGCAACCCTATAAAACGTTCGCTAAAATGGAAAAATGAATTCATAGAATATAAGCTTATATACTTTACTTCACAAGAGCATTTGAATAAAAAAATATAAAACTAGCAGCTGAATTATGTAATTGAGATTTCTGCTGTTGTGTGAAAGGTTACTTGAGCTGCTATGTACAATATAGGTGTATCACCATTGAATCTTGTGAGGATGAATAGTAACATCTTATCAATAGCTTCCTGATATATTTTTCTAGTCTGCTGATGAAGTGTTTGAATAATAAATTTCCAGCATAACACAAACTATTCAGTATCTTGCTAAATACATCTGTGACGCAAAACATCACCATTCTTTATTAGTTCACTATGCATCAGAGAGGTAAACAAAACTTACAAAAACGTCTATGTACTCTTGGTCAAGTGCGCTTTTTATTCAGGTCTCTTCTTATCTACTGCCGTATCTACAGAAAAGCCTTATAGTTAAACCACCTAGTTAAGAGAACACAACTTAATTTAATATATACCCCTGAGATACAAATCTTCTCCATCATTTCAATTAGAATAAGGTTGATGAGAAGTAGAGAGTGAGACAAATAATACAGAGAAAATGTTATCACTAAAAGACTGATTTTTTGAATAAATTTATTGAAGTCAAAATATAAAGCAAATATTTCAAAATATTATGATTATTGAATAACTAAACTATACTAATCATATTACAGTAAGTGAATTTATATACTTATGGAGTGTACAATCTATTTTCTGTGCTGATTTTAAATCATTCAATGAGGGTTGATCAAAAGCTGTCAGCAAATGACTAAAATGAACAAAGATTAGATAATGGAAATTTGGCCAAATGAAAATATACGGGATACATGCGTGATAAAATAACATTCTTGTATATAAACGTGTCATACATATTATACCTGATTAAAACTTCTTAAAAATAATACAACTTTTGGTGGATGAGTATATCTGAAGATTATAACGACTACTCAGTACTTCCTAGTTTTCAGTGGTTCTCTAGCTATGATTATTATTAGATGTTCACTATAGTGTTTAACTATCTCCTCAAACAGTGCGCATCCACAATTCCGCCTAGCGAGATTCCAACCCAGGACATATCAGTCTCGCGCGCGAGCGCTTAACCTCGAGACCACTGAACCGGCATCCAATGGTATTAGTATCTAACTTCAACCAATTCATGAAATTGAGCAACACATACACCATTGTCTTCAGTGAGTTGCTATCTCAAAACAAACCTGATTGAACTCCACTGGTCACTGCTTCTCATTAGAACTCCAAGAAATACATATTGAAGCCAGTCACTAGTGAGCATATGATCATTATCAGAAGAGGGGTTATGTGGAGATTTTAGTAATTTTATGTGGTTGAGATCATGAGTCAATTGAAGCTAGACCACCATGGAAAACCTGGAAGCACTTGACGGCGGTTTCGGTGACTAAGCTTCACTAAGTGGTTATTATTTATAAATAACATCTTATAGCACTTTTATGACCATAGATAAAAAAATATTATCAAGATAAAGAAATATACTGATCGACTGTAGTCAAAATAATAGATTGCAATAAAAGAATTTGAAGTGATCATTCATAGGGACTAATGTTCACAGAACTCTCAAATGAAAGCTTTTCTGACTACCGCTCTCCAACATATGTGAAATTCAATCAGAAATAATGTACAGTCAGTTATATTCTACACTCATATTCAGGATTGTGGATGGTGAATAAGAAGAAATTTATAACAAGAACACGGAGTAATCAAAGTTGGATAGTGGCTAGCAGTGGAATTCAGGACACGCGTTTCGTCCTATTTAGGACTTGTCAGCTGGATGTTCATCCTGGGACTCGAACCTAGAACATTTCGCCTCAAACGCCATCACGTTGTCCACTCAGCTACTGAGTCCTGATAGCCACTTGCTTGTGCAGGTACATCCAGCTGACGAGTTTCAAATAGGACGAAGCACGCGTCCTAGATTCCACTACTAGACACTATCCATCTTTGCTTATAATGCTTGTGAATTAAGGCTACATCGAGGTAATATGCATAGTATGCACATATTATCAACAAGAAACTGACCATTTGCAGTCCTAAGCATCAATGGGAAGATTCAAACAAACAATACTAAGTGAAGAACATGAAGAGTTTGAAGATATAGCTTTATAAAGGAAAGTTAGAAACAAATAATTATTCAGTATAACTTTTATAACTTATTATCTTATACATTTCATCAACATCTCTAACATTTACTTTGTTGACAGGTTATGGAAAAGCTTTTACTTACAAGTTGTATTACTTTTTCAACTCAAGTAGCTCATATAATAACTATAACTATATAACTACTGTTAGATCAGTTTGAGTAGGAGAACTTTGTTATTTAAAAAAAATATGATCATATCATCATCTTATCACATTAAATAATCAAAGGTTATTTGTTAATTCACAATTTCCCTATAAAACATTGAAGCGGTTTTTTTTACTCTACTCTTTTAAATATAATCAGATGATGTTGATTACTGTCCTATTCATATTTTGTATTTTCTATCCTACTTCTGATGCATTTAAAGTATCAACAGTCGAAGTAAATTTCAGAATTTTCAAAGAATTAAATAATTAACACAATGATGTTTAATATTCATTCTTCTTCTTTTTTGAATGAATGAATGATTTGTTAATTGTTAGTATTGATAATTTCTTAGATACTTTCTAAGCTAAATTGATCATTTATAAGTATGTATCAGTCATAAATATGGTTCTTGGAAAGAATCTTCTCTTTTGAATACGTTGTAACATAAATCATTGTGAAAGAAGTTAAGTAAGAACATTTTACAAATGTATCTTATGATGGATGTTTTTGTAAGTTAGCGTTTATGAAATAGGATAAAAAAAGGATTATGATGAGGTTTCGTAGATATTATAGTAATTTAACAGTTGGATTCATGAGTCAATTAAAGTTAGACGACTATGGAAAACCTGGAAGTACTGGATGGTTGAAGTTAGATATTAACACCGTTGGATGCCACCTCAATGGTCTAGAGGTTAAGCATTCGCGCGTGAAAGATTCTAAGATCGAATCCCGCGAGGTGGGATCGTGGATGTGCACTGCTGAAGAGTCCCATACTATACAAGAAATTCCCATCCATTGATTCCAGGTGGTGGTCTAGCTTTAATTGACTTATGAATCCAATTATTAAAATAGATTAGTTTACATTTTGTTTTGTAATTACTAAATTGTGTATGGTTAATGTTTATAGATGAATAAAAAGTTCTGAGAACTTCAGAAACGGGAAAGATAATATTTTAATATTTTTAAATACCCATAGATATCCATAATGAAAGAGTAATATGTCAAGTTAAAAAGTGGTCTATAGGTATAAAATATAATGGCAGTATTACAAAATAGAATAATTCTAAAGATTTTACTGGTATATGATCCATTTAAATAAATTTCATTATTACTCACATCCCAGTTTGCCAATATAATGGTTACATGATATCACGATTGGTTATAAAACTGTGAAATATTCATTTTTGTAATGGAAGAACATCATGCCAATAAGGATGTAGATAGTTATACAACTGAAAATATCATAAATGTAAGGCTCTAAGCCCTATTTTGTATTGGTTGTTTGAATCTTCCTACTGGTGTTTAGGACTTATACTGGTCAGTCTCTTGTTATCATAAATAAATCATGTACTGATCACCTTGATTTTGACTTCAGTTACAAGGATTATAAAGAGAGATGGACGGTGGCTAGCAGGGGAATCCAGGACATGCGTCGCATCCCACTTCGAACTGTTCAGCTAAATGTACTTGCATCTCACTGTTGACGTTTACTCCGAAACACAAATAAGACGAAACGCGCGTCCTAGATTTCATTGCTAACCACCATCCATCTCTGTTTATAATCCTCTTGACTGAAGTCAATATCACGGCGATCTGTACGGGATGTATTTATGCCAATTAGTGACTGATCAATTGCAGTCCTAAACATCAATCGGAAGATTCAAACAACCGATACAATAAAATGAATTAGGCTTTTAATCGTTGGTATGACTTTCTAGTTCCAGCAGTGCATATGAAGATTTTAAAAGATGTTAGTCATCACTGCATAATGTTCATATTTAAGGAGAAATCCAAAGCATCATTGTTATTCCAATAAAGTATTGATACTGTTATTTATATTACAACATTATCATCATTACTAATTTTATTATTATTAGTTGTAGTATTATGATAGTTGCGATATATTTTAACATTTTTACTTGAAAGTGTGTAGCTATTTTATATTTTTAAAAAGATAAATGTTTCCGACGTTTTCGGTCTTTGTTCTAGGAAAATGACTATGAGATGCAAAACGTTACTTTAGGTAAGTAAATATTTCATAATTTCGTGGCCATAGTAATATACTGAGACACTTTATAGGTATTTATTAATGACATCATTATTACTTATAAATGACTTGTCATGTTTTGACTTAGCGCCTGAATAATATTGAAATTAACCATTATTAGCCATTAAGAGTTTAGTAGTTATGTGTTGAATATCAATCTTTGTATGGTTAGCTTTACCTCTTTTGAAGGAGATGAACTGCTATGGTGAAACGTCAGAAATTTATAACCTAGGAAGATGGTTTTGATGGAAAAATTGTCGCTGAACTTTCATTCTTCTATCCATAAATTATGAACATATCATTTGATTCAATAAAGAGGAAGAATGTATTTGTAAAATTTCAGCGAATGAATTTGAAGTGAATCCAACGTTTCGCTTGGCAATCTGATCCAAGTGTTTTCATAAAAATATGCTTACTTGATAAATTGTATTCAAATGGTCACTGAAAGATTTCATTTGATTTGTCTTTCATTTAATTCATAGATAAATACGATTACCTTAAACACTGGTTTGCTGAGTTAAAATTTTGTGTTTGGCTCCCCTACTTTTCACACTATTTTATTACAAATAAATGTATATTTTGAAAATCGTGATTTCTAACAAAGCATATTTGACAAAGGTAACCTTTACAGCAGGTCATCTTATGTAAAGCTGTACAATAATATAAATTATATATTATTTATTGTGTATTAGATCATAAATTTACGGACAGAATACTTGTTTAATAGTCGAAATATTGATCTTCTGTTACACCATAGCAGTATGGTACAAAGATTGATTATCTTGAAATCGATAATTGAGAAGGAAAAATGACATAATTGATCGACCTCGTTTTACGATAAACCATGGTAAGAGATGGATTGGATTTGACGGAAAAGTGAACGCGATTAAAAACTAATTTCTCAGGTTAACAAGCGGTACTATAAGGTGAGTCACAATAGAAAAAAATTTTTCTCTGGGCTGGTAATGATTTCACATAAATGACTAGTATGGTTTTTGTTAAAGAAGAATTTCCTGATAAGTATCTAAATTGAATTATATTACTAAATTTCTTTACAATACAGAATGTAGATTATGTCTATCAGGACTTAGTTTAGCACACTATTTTATGGATGATATGTATTGGCGTGATATATACATGATGGGTGCTAAAAAACTGTGTACATTCATCTCTTCTGAACAAATAAAAAATATTGTAAGTTATACTCACTATAAATATTTCTGATGACTTTTATCATTATGAATATAATAAGACGATAATTCATTACAAGTGTACTTGATACTAGGCATAATGATTGTAGGTACGATCACTAATGGGCTAATAGTGAGCTATGCTAAGGAGTCCTAAACTAAATAAGACTAAGTAGCTATCCGCTGAATACTACTTCACGGTTTTATATTTATTTATAAACACTCTAAATGTATAAATGAGCTATTCCGTTTAAATTTTGATATATGATATTTAGAACGTTTGTAAAAATACGTCTAAACATAATATGAAAAGAGTGACCAAGTTCAGTAGTCTATCAGGATTTTCATGAATAATGCTTTTGTGAATGAGGTTAAATCAAATCAATTAGCATTTTCAGAAGGGGTTTTTTGTGGAGATTTAGTATTTTTATAGTTGAAAGCATGAAGCGCGAGACTAGTAGGTTCTGGGTTCGAATCTCGTGAGGCGAGGTCGTGGATGCGCACTGCTGAGGAGTCCCACAACGGGATGAATTGGCCGTCCTGTGCTTCCAGGTTTTCCATGGTTGTCCAGCTTCAACTGGCTCATGCTTTCGACTATGAAAATTGGCATTTCGCCTAGAAATTCAGCTTATCTAAAATATGAAAATGTTTCTACAAATTAATTCATCCAGTTTGAAGTTGTTTAGTAAAATTTTCAATATTTTTCTTTTTTAAATACTTTTTGTTTAGTGTAATAAATACACCTCGAAATATTTACCAAAGATTTTGGATGAAGTAGGATCACTAATAGGACCTGGAATTTGTACGGTAATGATATTTTTTGAGACTTTTATACATTTATTATCTTAGCACTAACAAACATTCAAACCGAATATTTATGCTAAACGTTCATCTATCAAAGGGAAAGAAAATTGCTCAGTAGTTCATACCACTCAATTATATGGTATTATTCGTAAACATAAAAAAACATCCTTGTGTTACTTGTATGCTATGAGTTATATTTCCAAGGTATTACTTGTATAAGGTGGAACCTCCAAACAAGTAAATCTCTATGGATACGTGGTGTATTGGATAAAGACAGTACACTGGTTTATGAGGCTGTAAAGTTTGATCAACTAGGATGAGTGTTGATTGTGCTATCGATGCTTGGACGCCTATCTGCACAAGGTATTGCGACAGTATATAGTAATAGTATAGATAGTAACAGTAATAAACATTCAATAACTTGGTTCCAATTTATTCACTATCTAAAAGAAATTAAGATTTTCTGTTTGATAAGTTTTATCTTATTTTGAAGTTTCATTTGGCTCGTATTGAAAATCAAATTTTCTTGTAACCCTATTTGAGTTGAAACATGTTTCAAAATGTAGAAAGTCTTGACTTGTTAGCACTTTGAAAGAACAGGTGGTTAATATTTTAGTTGGGTGTGACCTTACTTTTTTCTTCTCAATTTAGTATTCTCAGTAACTATGTGAATGATACCTGATTCAGTGTAAATATCACTTACACTATCAGTACTGTATACTTGAAATAAAAAGTGGAAACATGTTGAAATCGTTTTAAGTATATTTGTACTCTATTTAAATGGGGTTATCTTTACTGAAGATGCTTTGTCTCCTAATTGAATCTTAATTTCGTATATCTCATCAAGATAATTTTCGTTTGGAAAACTCTAAGCCTTTCGTTATAATAAATTTTTCGTAATGAAGTGTTATCAGCAACCTTCAGTGTATTTCGGCTATAATTAGTTATTTGATTATATTTCTATTGTTTGATTATTTCACTATGATTTTATATTCAGTGTTAATCATTTAGTTAATAAAGCTCTGTAATTAATAATCACTTATTTGGTACGTAACCGAATTAACTTAGTCTCTTCCAGTAGACCTTCTTGACAATACTGGTCTTTGAAAGAAGTAGTAATTAGAAAAAAATAGTGAAGCTTGATAAGTCTTGCTAATTGAGCGTTGTACTCGGTTTGTAAGCTAGTCTCGTAACCCCCAAGCTAAATCTACGCAGCGACTTGAACACAAGAGAAAAGGCGCAAAGTATACGAGAAGCACTTTAATCCAAAGGTTTATTCATGTACAGAAAATATAAGGTTTTTTGGTATTTTAGAAGTTCTTGGGTCTTCCTGAAAATTCTGGAATGCTACTAAACATAGTAGCAGTATGGTAATCAGCCAATCAGAACCTCTACATGTGACTTTTCATTTTCGTGATGTTTCTAGCAAAACTGCTAGTCAAACGCTGATTGTTTCCTGAGCTTGTCATGTCTATTGCGAGAAATTTTCGGGATCATCCTAACAAACCTGCTGTAGACAATACCATAATTATTGTAAGAATTGTAGCAGGATATCCTGCATTACACATCTAACCACTTTTGATGGAGTTTTGTTCTCTGAGCTGGATGGTTAGTTTGGCCGTGGAGCTTTCATCATTCTTCTGATCAACATCATTAGCGCAAACGTCTATCTTAAGTTTATGCTGTAATCCATCAAAATCATCTACCTGAGTCACAAATCTCCTCCATCATCTCACATTTAACCACAAAAAATCAATTAATATATGATTATTTAAATTTATAAAATTTAAGAAAAAAACGTATTTATTTTATGAAAATAAATATCAGAAAGGGTTTTGTGAATATTACAGTAATTCCAATAGTTGAGATCATGAGTCAATTGAAGCTAGACCACCATGGAAAACCTGGAAGCACTGGACGGCCGATTCGTTATATTGTCGGACGGTGAAAACTTGACCTATTTATCTTTTGTTTCCAAAATTAATATCTATTACCAACCAATATAGATATGAGTTAAATATCACAATTTTATCAATAAAATAATCTACCACACTAAAATTAACAAGTATGCTTTGTAACTACCTGAATTCATTTCAAGTTCTCTAACATGATTATTTTTAATAAATTACTGAATGATATAGAGTTAAACTTGTTGCGGTACAGTTAATGATTTGTTTTATAAATAAGTAAAGCAGATAAATGATGATTATTAGAATGAGGATTTGTAAAGATTGTTGTAATGTTAATAGTTGAATTCATGAGTCGATGTAATCTAGACCAAGATTGAAAACCCTAACCTGGAAGTAATGAACGGGCGGTTTTGTCCTAGTATTGGACTTATGAATTCAATTATTAAAAAATAAACGAGTTTTAATACTTGAATTTCGTTACGAACGTGGAGTATGAAAGTCATACTCACATGACTCATCATGAAAACGTCCAGAATTGTATGTAAATGTGAATATAACACAGTATGAAAATAGACATCAGTGAAACATTTAAATAATACAATCAGTCAAATATTTATTACAGGCAAACAAAGTCGAGTTGATTTGCGGTGTATGCTACTTGTGTTGACAGATATAACTAGTATGTAACACCGATCAGAAGTGGAATTTCTATCAAAAAAGGCTGAGCAGATTGAACTGAAGAAAATAGAAAGGGGAACATAAAGGAATTGAAAATTTGAAGAATCGTGGAGAATGTAGAGGAGAATTGATGGAAGATATGCAAATGAAGTATTTAATATATGGTTTTCGCATTTTACAAAAGTACAATAAATTGGTATTTCCTGCTTTAGTTCTCGTTCACTTCAGATACATTATTAAGAGTGACTATAAAAGTTGATCGATGGAAAGTTAGGTAAATTATTAGGTTATTTCATGATCTCGGTAATATCCAAGAGTATATTACCAAACACCTTAATTCATAACTTATCAGTTCACAAATCTGTTGATTGGCTTTTAATTTTAAAAAAATGAAGATTTTTAAAATAATCGATCATGATCCTATTACAGACTAGTTAGTTGGAAAAATGAAAACGTTTTCCACAGGTAATGAATAATTCATATAATTTACATTTAATATTTGTAGGACTTCGATGCATGCAAGTCTACTGAGGTTAAGTTGTTTACAATTCAAGAAAGTAAGTATTTATATAATTTTTAAATTAATCGATAGTTTTCGTACAAGATATTAATTAACATTCAATATCTGATTATTGTATATATATTGAGGAGAGTTTTGGCCAAAGCAATTTAGTGTATGTGCCTGCGTTTTTGCCATTGAATAATTCCAAGATTTTCAATATTAAGGGGAAATTTGGTTTTACTGACGAGTGTCAACCAAAAGGACTGTAACATTTATACCAGTTATATGTCTATAAACTGTAATAATTTCCGTGTGTACAAAATAAAACATGATAAATTACTGAATATGAACTTCTACAAAACAGTTTCAGGAATCGACAACCAAAATTCAATGCTCTTTTGTTCGTATTCATCAGAATGATGTCTTAATCAAGTAACCAGACTTCATTATTAGTGAAGTTAGAAATCTATACTAATGGTGCTGAACATTTTTGTTACTGAAAAGACCGACGTTTTCTATTATGGATGTTAATGACAGTTTTATTATGATGTAATGTAGTAAACTGACAACTATTCACAAAAAACCGAAAACTGGATGTTGAATAAAACAAATCAATTAGATATTAAAACGTCATTGAACAATTTATTTCTCATTATATAATTAAGCTGGTGTTTACATTTACTATGAAGTGAAATACGAATCCTTGTGAAGAATACTTTTACAATTACTTAACTGAAACAATGATAAGCGTTGAAAGGATGAAAACTTTGTTGAATTACGATACTTTGAAGAAACAGTTCATTGAAATTACTACCTCAAATAGATTTCCAGCCGATTATATTAGTCAGTTTTAGTGATAAGGCACTAGGTTTGTATTTGAACGGAAGGATTTATTGTGCTTTCTGAGCTGGGTAGTCTATTAATCGATTTAGGCAATATCGTAACTAGGAATTTCAATAGTTTACTTCGTTTGTAGGGTTTGTTGATACTACTGTCTAGAAAGATAATGAAAGTTTCACAGTTAAGCAACATAGCAGAGTGGGCACAAGACTAATAATGAACCCGGACATATTTCGCATTATACTATCGAGGATGATATATATTTACGTTCTAGAATCCAAAAAAACAATAAATTTTATTTTTCATGAATGATCAGTTTTTAAATAAGATAGAACATGTTGAAGAAAAAGCATTGGTTTACTGATTGTCGTTAGTAGAATATTTCATTTCTACTAAACGCAGTGCAAATAACTTCTATTTCTGTTAAATGCAGTCAACTCTGTTATTGACACTTCAATAGAATATCAAAGTTCAACTTGTTTCCTTGAAGGAAATGCTAAGAGTATTTATATATTCTGTTTTAAGTGAGGCCTCAAGATCGCCTGTTCCAAAGTATGTTTAATTTTAAGTGTATAATTTTAAGTTATAGTATAATTTAAATTCCATTATTACTATTTCGTGAGTTTTTGTTTTCTCAGAGAATGCTCATATTTGGCTAAGGTAATCATCATATTAACGTGTTTAAACAGTCTAGGACACTAAGTTCACTTATTATTGTTTGGTTGAATCAGTCTCTTATTGGCATATATGCATAGGACGAAAGGCGCATCCTGGATTTCACTACTAGCCACTATCCATCTTTGCTTATAATACTTGTGAATTAAGGCTATATCGAGGTAATAGGCACAGTATGCCTATATACCAATAAGAGAGTGACCAATTGCAGTCCTAAACATTAATGCGAAGATTAAACCACAGAGTACTAATTGAATTTAAACTTCACCCCCCATCGCACAAGCAAGTGGCTATCAAGACTCAGTAGCTGATTGGATAACGTGATGGTGTTTGAAGCAAAAGGTACCGGTTTCGAGTTCCAGAGTGAACATTAACTCAGAGATGCAGGTACATCCAACTGCCGAGTCCCAAATAGGACGAAACACGCGTCAGACTGGATTCCACTACTAGCCCATACCCATCTTTGCTTACAAGTCTAGAATATTGTAATAGTTTTGACTATAACAAAAGAACTAAGGTTTCTTTTTTTCTTTTTCTAATATTTATTTTTTTCTTTACAGATAACAAAATCTAAACATTATTTTTCTAACTAATTCTCTTTCATTGTTATTAAATATTATACTGTACACATCATAAATTATGATATGATATGTTCGGTCTTTATGTTCTGAATCATCATTTTAATACTATTTAGATGTACTAGTTAAGATGATGATTGTATCATTTCCTTGTGGTTATCCAATTTTTAGCTGCAAGGATATATAATGAATGTTTGAAATTTCGACCATTAGCGTAATATAAAAATCTTTCATGATCAAATATATCAGTATGGAGAGAAAGTTTATCATTCAATATGAATTAATCTCTAACTAAGAAAATAAAACATTGAACAAAAGCGAATTACGTATTAAACTCTAAATGACTTGAGTAAACACGTATCTTTTTTAGAGTTTAGTTATGAATTATTATGTTTATAAGACTTTCAATCTAGGCTTATAACTAACTATAATTTGGTGTTGATAGAACATTCACTAGTCTGTCTTCAGTGTGTCAATTTAAGGCCATGAATTTCAATACATTACTCAGTCATTAAGATTTTAGTTAACTGTTAATCCTAGTGAGGTTTAAGACTAGGTAAATAAATCCGCTTATATATTAGTTTGATTTGACTTACATGTAGGCATGTAATTTTCAAAGGGAACATGGTTCTTGTTGCATTCTATCCCCTTATACGTTGTGATTTGATTATTAGAAATGCAATGTATATGAAAGCAGTTTTTGATTGAATAGTCCGATAAAACGTGGAATGTTTTGCTGGAAGCAAACTGAAATTTTATTGGGTAAATATACGAGTCAAAGAATAACATATTGTGACATCGAGAGCACTGGAAGTCTCCTGGTAAATAGAATAGGTAAGTGAGCTCTCAAACGAAAAACTGTTTACAGCTATTTTTTAATGCAACTTGAAATTCGAAATATGGATAATAAAATGGAAGTATGAGTATTAATTACAGCTTCTAAGGCGTTAACATTAAAAAGCCACGCTTATAAGTCACCAAGAGTTCAAAAACCGACTAAAATAGTTCCCTAGACGAGAGCAAATAATTCTTGAATAAACAATAATTACTTAGGATTTCAAGGATCAGTATTTCGAAATCTCATATTCTTCACAAAATAAGGTGAATGGATTATTTGTAGCCCTTAGAGAAAATTGGAATATCACAAAAACATTTATAAATTGTTGTTTAGTTTAGTTATACTGCATGCCCAAAAATAATATTTGATACTGCTGTATTGTGTGCTACTTATGTAGACATAGGTAGTACATAACGATAATCAGGAATAGAATGTCTTGCAGCAGAAGGTTGAAAAGATCAAAGAGGGAAGAACGGGAACAGAAGGCAATAAGTATGGAAATGCAGGAACAATGAAGTCTGAGACAATTGACTGATATTTGCAAAAGGAAAAGTCAGGTTTGAGACAGTTGATTGACATTTTGCGCATTAAGTATTAACTACAATGTTCCGTAATTTTGTGTTCGAATACATTCGATTGTCCACATTTGTTTTCTCGTTCACTACACTGCCGATTGTAAAATGAAATTATGTTGGTGTGTCTAGTACGATGTCATGCTCATATGGAATTTTCTAGTTTCCGGATAAACCAGCTTATTTTTTATCGTTGAGTCACATTTTGACCTTGTCAGTTAACCGCTGTTTTCATATAAGCGTGTGTTCATCGCTTGCCACATTTATAACACAACTTCAGTGTATTTTTGTCTTGTTGTAAATGTTGAGTCACTCTTTATCAAATGTAGTTGGCACGCTAGCCTTCTCCACTTTGCTTCGCATTTCTGCTTTTCGTTCTTATTATCTGCCTGAATAAACGACTGTCTGAAATAAATCCATCCAACTCAACTCATATCTGACTTCTTACTACAGCCATTGCACGAACGAGATTAACCTAGATGTAATATACGGAGTTAAACAGAAGATTTGTATTCATATTGTATTCTTTGTTCCTTCAGATCGAATTTAAATCAACCGGACACTGAAATATAAAGGTGAATGCCTACAGGGATCACCAGTTCCACCGTCAACAAATTAAGGAATAATTATTGCTGACTAAACCCTAGCCAACAGATCTTAGGGCCTAGTCGATAGAAAAAACCGTCAATTACACACTTCTCTTGGTTGTTCCCATTGATGTTTAGAACCGCAATCGGTCAGTCTCTTATTAGAATATGTGCATTCAGTAAGAACTGTCTCAATATTGCCACAAGTTACAAGGATTATTAACAGAGATGGATAGAGGCTAACAGTGAAATCCAGGAAGTCCGTTTCATCCTCTTTGGGACTCTTCAGCTGAATATACTTTCATCCCATAGTTAAATTCCATCCTGGGACTCGAACACAGTATCGTTCGCTTGAAACTCAATTACGTTATCTAACTGGATACTGATGTCCAAGCAACCAATGCAACAACGATCTAAAATGTCACCCATTGTACAAGCCAGTGACTATCAGGAATCAGTAGTTAAGTGGATAACGTGATAGAGTTTGAAGCGAACGATACTGTGTTAGAGTCCTAGAGTGAACATCAACTCGGATGCACATGCATCCAGCTGACGAGTTCCGACTAGGACAAGACGCGCGTCAAGCTGGATTCCACTTCAAGCCAACATCCATCTCTGCTTACCATCAATCATAGTTAAATTTGAGGTAGATATATTGAAATAAGTTACGTCATATAACTTTGTGAATATACTGGACTGGAAAGGGAATAAATACTAAAAAAAGGAAAGGATTAAGAGTAAACAAACATGGGTAACATGAAAGTCATATATCGACGTATCGATTTATTTCACGAAACTGATCCAATTCATATTCTCACTTGTTATTAATTTCGAGAGTTAATTCCTAGGTACCAGTGGAAAGTCATTACTGATGAAGTTCAGTCATGTTGTGTGTGACATAGTTATTTATTGATGGCGTTGGTAGATTTTTCCTCCATATTCCGAGTTGAATGAAGTTAGACATGTAAACCACTGAATTTCAATTCGGTAGCCTAAAGGTTGATTAACCTCCATAAGAGGTAAGCACATAGGGTTCCATGTCTGATAGGGCCACGCACTCATCGTAATGAGGAGTCCTATATTAGAATGAATAGCTATCCGGTACTTTTTGGTTATCACGTATTATTTAACTAAGATCAGACCGTTGTATAGAACGTACGACAACATTTTGTTCGTTTTCTCAGGTATAATATGTTCTGTGTGAATTACATAATCACCTATCAAAAAGATTAATGTGAACAGAGATAAAAAAGCCATGACAAACAATGGATGCTATCTCACTTCACTTATAGTTTACAAAATACTAACATTAAATTGGTCTATAAACCATAAGCTTTCTTTTGATGTATTATTTTCTGCCATACCCTTTTTATTTCAAAGCCATTGTAATTTAAACGTAACTTTAGTGATAAAATTACCGAGATGACAATGTAACTTATTTTTATCTGGCTATAAATAATGACCAACTCTTGATTAAATGGGGTTGGCTCCCGCACCCTCTCCACCGCTCATCATTTCGCTTCGTTCCCTTCTATTCATTTCATTTCTCTGATTCCCTGTCCAGATCACTGAGTGTACAAAATATATGTATTCAAAAATCTATTCTCCTATTCGACTTATTTAATTCCGTTAGTCACCAATGCAATTTAAGTCGATGAAACATAGGAGGATAGACAATATGTATATTTTGAAAGCAATCATTCATACGATCTACTTGGAGTCAGATATTTGGCTATTAAAAGTCTTTAACGTTTTATATTATTCATTCTGATAAATACATAAAGTTACATAATATAAATTACTCAATTTTATAGACTGATAGGTCCTGGAATCGAATCTCACGAGGCGGGATCGTGGTTGCGCACTTCTGAGGAGTCCTACAGTAGAATGAAACGGCCGTCCAGTGCTTCCAGGTTTTCCATGGTGGTCTAGCTTCAACTGACTCATGATCTCAGCTTTATAGAAACATTTTTTTATTATTTTTAGAATTTTTATTCAGTAAAACATAACAATATGAAATGTAAATGATTATGGCATTATACTTATGTTTAATTAATTTTTCAATGTTTATAAAGTTAAAGAAACTGATCTATAAGCCAAACATTTATAGACTCACATTAGGTAACATTTTAAAAGTACATCAAAAGTAGAGAAAAAATATAACACAATTTTTATTATTAGGAAACACGGTTATAGGAAGACAAAAAAAAACGATTAGTTATATAATTTTCAATCACCTGAAATAAAAAAATGCAACAGGATAATAAAAAAGTTCATTGCCATTTGTTCTAACCAATAGTTGAATATTTAATAAGCAATAATTTCTTACGTAATTGATGCGTTGTTAGAAGATTTAAAATGAATATGAAATGATGTAAGTTTCCTTATTCGTATTAGCCTATTGACAGGAGATAGATCTTACAATATGACTAGACTAACTTATACTAAGTCTATGATATGTAGTCTTTTAATAAAACTAAGACAAGATTTTAGTTTTATTAAAAGACTACATTTACGAAATAATTAAGAAACTTAAATATATTCCTCCTCTGTAATAATTATTTGGATATGTTTAAAGAGAAGAGGGATGGAATCCTTGTCCATTGACTTAATAGCTGAATGTAAATAATGGCAATATATCATAATGAGAATTGGAAGATAATACGTTTTATTATTTTATGCAACTGAAATTATTTTTAAACAAATAACTACTCTGACTTTCATTGATAAAATTGCAGTTTCATTTAGTGTATTTCCATCTTGTAAAACATTTGTCTTTGAAGAAACGATCGTTTAAAAACATTATCTTATAGATATTAAATGCTTTAAGTATAATACTGATATACTATACAATCATGTGTGAACTACATTTCATTCTAGAACGAAAATGTGCTGTTGTACTTAAAGGCACCTACTTGTTTATTTCATTACTGGGAGTAATTTTAATATCATGATGCTTAAGAAGAAGAAAATAACAAATATAAGAAATGTTTTGCATTTTCTTAAAACTTACATGTAATATCCATTTAGTAGAAGATAAGTTTGAAAAGTTTTAGGAAAGTGCAAAGTGCCTGAAATAAGATTTTATTGATTTAACACACAAAATTTCTGTGACTGAAATAAAAGATGAGGTTTTACTAATAACAAATCAACAAATCAGAATATTATCCCTGGTGAGGTATTATGTATACACTGTTGAAGATTCTTATACTGTAGTGAACGAGAACACAAGTGGGTACAATTGAATTTATTTGAACACAAAATTACGGAATATCTTAGTAAAATCTGAGAACAATACAGTAAATACTTCATTTGCAAAATGTCAATGAATTGTCGCAGATTTCACTGTTCATTCATTCCCACACTAATTATTCTCTGTTCTCGTTCTCTTTTCTTCGATCTTTTTAGCCTTCTGACACCACGTATTGCACTTTCGATTGATGATACATACTATATCTGTCGACATCACTAGCACACACCACAATACTAATATGTATTTTCTTGAAATAAATGGGCTTTCTTTATGGGATTAATTGTTGCGTATATTTAATTGTATTGGAACAGATAAGTCTAACTAAAACTATATACTGTTGTTCAATATATTAACTATATATTACTGGTAGGGTGTGCTATCTACCAAACTACGTGATTCATTTAGCCACTAACATGTTCTACTGCTATGAATGTATGTGTACGAATTCGAATGTTCCTGCTGTTAATATCAAGAACCATGAAGACTACACTATCATTATTGCATAATTGTGCTTAGTTCACAAGAATTGTTATTAATTATATTAAGAAGTGTGATTTCTCTATGATCCTCATTTACGTATACGTTACATTGAATCTTCCAAATCCTATTATCAAGTCAAATTTACGTATGTATAATTCATGGAATAAATTAGTTTTAACTGTATACAAAATAATCTACACTGGACACTCCTTCTGTAATTGTACCTTTATTATGTCCATACACACAAAAAAAAGTAAATCTAACATTATTCTCACTAGAAATGTCAGATATAGTTTGTCAGCAAACTCGATAATAATGATATTGGTTTAAGATAAGATTACTTACATAACATGTTTCATCTGCTCTATGATGTTCAAAATATGTAATTGTTTGATCCATATATTTTTGAAGTACTCTATCACACTAAAGTTATATTGAATATTAAAAATTTGTTTAAAAAGGATTAGATTTCATTTAACTTTAAGAACAAATATTTTGAAGATTTCTATTGTGAAAAATAGAACAACAAGTATATAGGCAAACAATATTGTTGCTAATTAGATTGTTATCAGGCTTTATTCTAGAAAACATGATTTTATGTATGGAAATTTAAAATAGATGAATTCATAAGTCGAAATAGGCTATACCTTCATTGAAAACCTTAAAGTCGTTTTGTTCTAATATGGGGATTTTTCATGAGTTTGACTAAGAAAAATTACTACAATCTCCACAAATCCTCATTCTGATAAACATTTTAAAAGAATCAAAGGAATTTATAAGTCAATGACCACAATGAAATAGATTGTGTAACTGCATTTAATGGGTAGAAAAAGTACAAACTGACAATAAGTAGACAGGTGTACTAGTTGGATGACTTAGTTGGGTTTTGTTCTCTGAGCAGGATTATTTGGTCTTAGAGCTTTCATTGTCTCACTGAACAACATGATCAGCACAAACTTCAGATAGAAATGAAGTGTTCGAATTTCTCCACATAAGACTCACAGCTTGTCCTGTTGACCCTTATCCTGGTTTGTTAATATAGACTTTTAACCTATCATTGTCTACTTCCTTATTTTGGTTGTATTTCCCTTCGATTCAATTGTTGGTCCTATATTTGCCCATGATTTTTCTGATTTATTAATAAATGGAATCGATCTTGATGTGTCAAGCTTCTAAAAATTTTCTGGTGTTCTAAGTGTTCTCTCTGTTCAAGATTTCAACATTTTTCCAGTAGAATGGGCGTCCACAGAAATCCACATGTATTGATATAAGCAAGGATATGTCATGGCGAATGTCCGCTAGTTGTTATTCGTGAATGCGGAAAGCACTACTACAGACTACAATTCATTTTCCCCTAATATATATATATATATATATATATATATATATATATATATATTAGTGTAAAGTCATGAAGAGAGCTAACTGGAAAGAAATATTCATTTTATTCATTGTGATACTGAATATCTGAGTGGGAACTTTTATAAATGAGTTAGTTAAAATGTAAACTTACTTGTGATTCATCTGCGGCATAAAGTAAACATATCATTTTCATTGAAGATTTCATTTCTTTTATTACTATGTGGTCAGTAAAAATACTTTGTATTTTATAATAAACAGATATGCATCCTTCACACAGTATACTATCTCCTGAAAATAAAATGCAAGATATTTATTTGCAATCTTCTAGATCAATTTTCATAGTATTTAAACAAAAAATATATAATCAGTAATACTTAAAATATAAAGTCAACCAAATGAACTTCAAAGTGTATAGTAAAATGCATTATACCATTCATTTTCAATATGAGCAATATAGTGTTGACAGGAGTAATACAAAGATAGACTAATATTTAAAAGACAAATAGGGATTCACAAACATATTGGATGAATATTATTCTTATGTTCGTTTCCTTATTTCTTTTCAACCTAGATTTTCAGACATTTATTCAGTGATGTAATAGAGTGATTAAGGTAATCGAATGATCTTTATTAAATAGACATTATTATTATTTTGTGTAAAACTTGATAAACTGAAGTTCATTACCGTCACTGAAGACTCATTTTATTTGCTTGTACATAATCCAGGGTTCTTATTACTGAAGAGTTTTGAAAAAAATTATTTTGTTGATCTCTGATAGTATCTTTTGCAGATTTGCTGAATTCTCAATGATGTAATACTCTGGATATTTGAGATGTCATTATACTGAAAGATTAGTGAAGCATAATTTTTAAAAATTATTCCATTTATACATTTAAATTGTTTAGATAATTTACTACTTTGACTACCTATTTGATTTACATTAATTAAGCAGCTTTTGTTAAGGGGTCTATGAATGAAGACGAATTACCAATTTTTTTTTTTAATAAGTAAGAAAGATTATTCACCATTGATGATCAAAACTTCAGTATTTAGGAAACATGTCAAGATATTATAATTTTGTACAAATTAGATATTCCAATGGAGATTTTAAGAATGACTTGAAATAATATCAGTCATACAATTGTTTTTATCAACAATAATAATCATGTAAATTATTTTTTATTAAACTGGACGGCCGTTTCGTCCTATTGTGGGACTCTAGTGCTTTCAGGTTTTCCATGGTGGTCTAGCTTCAATTGACTCATGATTTCAATTATATAAAATTACTAAAATCTTCACAAAACCCCCTTCTGATATTACCTATTCATTTGAACTAAATGGATATATATTTCAAAATGAAATGTGTATTCGTTTGTTGATCTTGGAAATCTTATCAGTGTAATTAAATAACTTTAACAAGCTTTTATGATGGCAACTAAGAAAACAAAATACAATAGATACTTTATGTTTAAATGAAATTATTTCTGTGTTCATTATTATCGGGAACATAACATGATGTTGTTAAGTTCGTCAGTTTTAGTATTTGAAGTGGACGATTCTTCATCCATTGAACATATGTCAACAGTCTTTTTATCAAACTATAAATATATTTTAAACTGCTTAACATGCCAGTAATTTAGGGAAAAATATCAGTATAAATTTAGTTAGTATATATATTGGCTCCATGATAATAATGAAAAAAATAGTCATTCTCTCTAATAAAAAACAAGAAATATTAGTATTTGAATAAACTATCATCAATGTTCTAACGTACAAAGTGAACAAATTAGGATTTTCAATTATTTACCTACCTAAACTGTCTTATATAGTGAATAATGATAGTCAAACATGCTGAACATTTATTGTGTATAAGTAGAATAAATTTTATTTTTTTTAACCAAAGAGGTATTTCCTGGAATCTAGTTAGAAGCAGTAACCAATGGAGTTCAACTAGGTCTGTTGTGAGATATAAACTCACTGAAAGCAATAGTGGATGGTGGCGCGACTTCATGGACCGGTTGAAGTCAGACATTAACACCGTTAGATGCCGACTCAGTGGTCTCGAGGTTAAGCACTCGCGCGCGGGACCGATATGTCCTGAGTTCGAATCTCACGGGGCAAGATCGTGGATGTGCACTACTGAGGAGTCCCACAATAGGACGAAACGACTGTCCAGTGTTTTCAAGTTTCCCATGGTGATCTAGGTTCAACTGATTCATGATCTCAACTATAAGAATTAAAAATAATGTGTTAATCTTAACTACTCTATAATAACGATTTCTGTAAATGTATTTTTTGAGATAAGTCAGGAACGAAGAATATTTTCACCATGTTAACCATTAGGTCAAAATATAAACAAGAACCATAAACTGTACTCTCTCTGGGGACTACTTCCGGTCCCAGGCCAGGATAAAGGAGGAGGGTTGGGCTTCGCGTTAGCGACCCCATCTTGTTGAAAACTAAAGCGCTAAAAAAACGCTACCCAGATAAAAAAAAGTGAAAAACGCAGTTTGCATCTTCACTCTAGTCAAAATGCCTTTTTAAAAAAATAAAGTAAAAAAGATTAAAATTATTAGCTATTTCACTAAGAATATTTCTCAGTTGACTGTCTGGTGAATCATTTTGATCATATTTTTTTGAGTAACTGTAGAACTATTTAAAATGCACAATAATTAATTCAGATCATGATAACATTAAGAAACAATTAGATGAATGAATATGTTAGCATATTATAAAACTTCACCTTATATAATATATATATAATTCTACTTACCCGTGTTTCGAGTGGACGAAGATCTTGTATCATTTGCACAAGCTTGTAATGCCTGTCAAAAAGAAACAAAATAATTTTCGCTATTACAAACATTCAAAAATTAAGTGTTCAAAGTATCAACATTCATGAAGACACTTATGTTATATAGATTGCGTGCGTTCTTGCCCACTTGATATATATGAACGTGCTGATTCCCGGCCAATGAGAGAGGAGTGAATTATAGATCAGATTAATGATACACAAAAGCCGTATGAGCAGTCTTGAGTACTTAACAGTTCTGCTATCTGTCTAGCCCAGTCAGTTAAGTCCAGAACACCAATAACAGCCTCTGCAATATGAATCATCATTCTCAAACATACTGAGTTTATATACCAAACAAACAGACCACATCGTCCAATAAAACAAAATAATATTTGTGGCAGTGAATAGGGGGAACAGTAATTAATGGACTATGGATAACTCAAGAATGGTAAATCGTATAATAATATTCTATAGACCAAAATGAAGCTTATAATAAGAGGGACACGAATATGGATACTTTAGTTACTTGACAGTTATGCAATAGAAAATATACATATCACGTTGGTCCACAAATAGTTCTCAAAGTTACCATTCATAAATCTCCACGGGATATAACAACTTAAAATATACCAAATGAAAACAGAATTCAAATATGTAAGAACAGCACATAAAATATTAAGCTTATTAGTAGTTTAGTGAATAAGACGACAATATTTGAACACATTGATTGTAGTCTACTTGAGAACATCAGCATATGAATGCTGATTAATGAAGTCGTTAACTAACAATTACATTAAAACAAACAATTGAGGTTGAAATAATATCAATCTGTAAATAGGGTAGACATTAAAGTTCATATGGCTTCAAAGAATGATTAATTTAAGTTTTAATGTTTATAACTGTTGAATACGTTTTAATAAGTGATAATGTGACCAATTACAGAAAAATTATTACTGTTATTGATCAATGTATTTTTAAACCAACATGAATGTCCCGACCATACTGAAATTATACGACTGATTGATTAAAAATAATTTTGACCGTATTTAAAACGTAAATGAGTCTTAGTAAGATCAGCATTGTAACCTGAAAGAACTATATACTTATCTTGTCTTAACTTGAAACTCCTCAGCAAAGCGCATTCAAACTATATTGATGAAATTCATGTACACACTAGTGATGGGTTTCATGATATAACTCATGGAGTTCTAGCGTGAACCAGTGACCAGAGGAGTTGAGCGATGTCTGGTATGAAACATTCATCCACCTCAGACAATTGATGGGGGTTGTGGAGTATCGTGAGTTGATTGAAGTTAAGCATCAACATCGCTGAATATCAGTCTAGTTTTTTGGAGGTTAAACGTTGGCGGCAAGTCCGAAGATTCATAGTTAGATTTCCGGATGCAAGATCGTTGATGTGCACTCTTACTAGGATGAATCGCCCGTCCAGTGCTTTCAGGTTTTCAACGGTGATCTTCGCAAAACACCATACTGGTAAAAATGACTTGTTTTCTGGCTTCATTATTAATGTTTTTAGTTATGAAAACATGAATGATACACGACACAGTTATACAGAATCATTTTGTTATACAGAATTTTAAACTATTAACCACTGGAATATTTTTTAATGCAAATGATGGTACTGACGATATATTTAAAAAAGCTAAACTATATTCATGATATTCAAAAATTACCTTGCAAATGTAATCAGGATTCACTGCTTTAGCCAGTACAACCAAAGTTTTATTAAGGTAATTATTCACATATGCTAGGCACTTGGATGAAAATGAAAAATAAAAAAGGCAGTGGGAGATATAACCTTTTAGACTGAAACAACTTAAATATGGCGATTACAAAACCATACTGTTTCCACTGAACTTTTACCGCTATGGTTATTTTTTATTACTAAATTACAATGCTTACTAAGGTACTTTCGATGTGTATGAAATTAATCTTCACGAATATTCATTATAGAAATTAAGTTTCAAAAAATCATTATTCTTTCACTAAATAGTTTATTTTACTAAACATATTAAAATTAAAACTGAAAAGAATAATGAAATTAGTTTGTAACCGTTTGAAAATTACCAGTCAACTTAATTCACTTTTGTATTGGTTGTTTGAATCTTCCCTCTGATGTCTAGTAATGTAATTAATCCGTCACTTATTGGCCTATATACATCATGTAAGAATCGTCTCGATATTGACTTCAGTCACAAGGATTATAAACAGAGATGGATGGTAGCTAGCAATGACATCCAGGAAGTGCGTTTCATCCCATTTGGGACTCTTCAGCTGAATGTACTTGCATTTCAGAGTTATTGTTCACTCTGGGACTCTAACTCAGCATCATTGGCTTCAAACTTCATCACGTTATCCACTTACGTACTGAAGTTTAAACAACCAATAAATAATGTTTGTCTAACAATAAAGGGAAAATTGTCTAATGCTCAGATTTTAGTTACTTACAGTGTTTTTTAGACTTTCTGCTGCAATAGACTGACATATTTGTTCTGCTGCAATCATATAAATCTTTACCCAATAATCTTCTGAAAGAATGTAGTGAACTAAATTCATCCCTGCCAAACATGTATCACATTCAGCTGAAAATATAGTAATTACATTCAAATAAAGGAGATTGTTTGGCCATTGAACGATAACTTCAAAAACTAGCTAATACTTATACTTTAAGTGTTTATCAAATGAGTTGACCGTGAATTCAATACAGATGTTCAGTAAACGTTAGAATTATTGTGAAGGTTTGTGTCATACACTTACTTCCTATAAGTATTTTATATACATATTACTGAGTATCATAATTAAAAATGTATCCACAACTTTAAAATGTTGAATGGAAAAATAGCTTAAGTTTAAGTTTTGCATAATATTAATCCTCAAATATAATATAATAAACTAGAATATATCCTTGACCAATCTAGACTATGGAAATAATCTTGTTGACAAAACAATGGACATTGTCAATTCATTAGTTGTGATGCACGGATACAGTTACTTCCAGGATCTTTCGTAACTTATTTATTCTTTCTATAGCATGCACCTAAAGATTCAATACTTAATATTAATACACTGATAGATGTATACTAGAAACAAATTCATTGTTAATAATATGTTGTCTTCAAATACCCTGAAGAATGATGTATACATAAAAAATGGAGAATTCGTAAATAAAAAATGTATTTCTATGACACTAGACTATTGTGTTTGAATTATGCTTTAGAATATGATTAAGATTTGTTTTATTAGTTGTAATGTAATAAACAGTGGACTTGTTTTAGAAGCTCCAATCTAGAATAGTCATCTTTAATTATCCATTCAAAGATTAATTGTTCAGCCTAGTATTTTTACAATTTTGATACATTTTTAAGTATAATACTTTGCAAAATCTATGATGGATATGATATTAAGATCCAGATTATTCATGCAGTGTGCTATTCATAAAATTGTCAAATAACTAGTTTTAATATTTGAATTCATAAGTCAATTAAAGGTAGACCACCATGAAAAACCTGGATGCCCTGACCAGCTTTTTCCTCCTTGTATGGTACTCCTCAGCAGTGCGCATCCATGAACCCTCCTCGTGAGACTCGAACCCAGGACCTTCCGGTCTCGCGCACGAGCGCTTAACCTCTAGACCACTGAGCCAGTGGTGTTAATGTCTAACTTGAACCGATCCACTAAATTGGGCAACCGTCCACCATTGTCTTCAGTGAGTTACTATCTGATTGTGGTCTATCTTTAATTGAATCATGAATTCAATTGTTAAAATACTAAAAATCTTCATAAATTCCTTTTCTGATAATTAACTACTTGTATTTTCAGTAACTACTAAGGGAATGTGGACGACTTTATAAGGTGTCAAAATGAACTCATTAGATTTTAAAATATTGAGATTATCAATCTGAATTAAAGTCTTTTAACTTTATAATATTAGAAATTATCTGACTTATATTTCTCGAGAACGGTTTATTTTTAAAATATAACTTCAATATAAGGTATATATATCAATTTAATTAACAGTGACAGAACATACCTATTGTTGAATTGTCATCTTTATTTTCCTTAGTAAATAAATTCTGTGTAAAAATATAACACAATGAAAATGAATTGTATACTGCATCATCTTATGTAAGAAATAAAAGCGTTACTGATGTAAAGCGTAATTTTAGTGGCATGAAGTCTCCTTTAATATATCATCCTTTCTTACTTAGAGTGTTCAACTTAGTAATTGATGTTATTCAATTCATGTAGCTAGTATTCATCTTTTGTTCTAACTTACCTCGGATGTATACGTTGTCTCCATCAAGAACGGAAAGACTTGATTGAAGACAAAAAATGTTATTCATACTTTCTTGGAATCAGATAAGGTGTTAGGTAATTAATTAGTGTAAAGAAAAAAAGTAAAGAAAATAGTATTGCAAAAAACTGTGCCATATTTTCAAGTCTGTCATGGTAGTAAATGGATTGTACTCAAATTTATTGTCAACGATTGGTTTGTTCTAACTTGATAAAACGTTAATTCCTAATTCGACTTAGTTTCATATCTATTCGCTTAGACTTTTATTGCTGATATTATTGTTAATATTTTCTTGCTTATAATCTTATTGTTTTAGTATTTACCTTGTACTTAATTCCAGATAGATATACTATTGTGTTAAAGTTACATTAGTCTTTTTTCATTTACTTTGTTAGCTTTAACAGATTATCTAGTTATTGTACAAAGTTATTAAGCAGATCAATCAAGATGTACTTGTTACTAAGGAAATATATGTAAACTGATATTTGTTTGGATAAAAGTAGTAGCTTTACAAAATACAAAATGGTAGAATGTCAATTATATAAGATAACGTCTGAATGAAATCGTCATGATTCAAGTTCGTTGTTTTGTAAGATGATTTCAATTGAATTTTTTAAATAAAGAAATAAACTCTTCCAGTATCTTGATTTCATCTAGTGAACTGTACATCTCACACTGACTGTTGTAAATTAATTATATAAAGAAAATGAGCCTAGTCCTACCACTTCATAACATACAATGATTATATATGTTATTTATATATAGTTGAAATCATGAGTCAATTGGAGCTAGACCACCATGGAAAACCTGGAAGCACTGGACGACCGTTTCGTCCAATTGTGAGACTCCTCAGCAATGCGCATTATATATATTAGTTAAAAAAATAAAACTTACAATTTTGTTTGATTCCGTTGAACGAATTACGCTCTGTACAACAAACACCAAAATGAAGATAGAATGAATCATGATAGAATGAGTTCAGTTACAAAATGTAAAATCTATGGTATATATCGAAATTTCTGAAATAAATAAAATTAATTTTTTACTCATTTATATTCATTTTTTAATTGAAGACTTTAAAAAAAATTTTATTTACATTTTAGTTATTTCAAGTGGTTAAACGATATATCTTAAAAGGTAATATAGAATAAAGTACACCTTCAAAAATAACTATTATTGAAATTTAGAGTTTGATCTTCCCACTATTAGTCGTTGTTTTGTTTGTTTTGTTTTTTCATTCACTTTGAATCGATATTACCAAAATTTTCTTTTTGTATTCATTGTTCAAGCATTATCAACAGTAAATTAAGTAGTATATAATTAAGCAAAGATGGAGAGTGGCTGGTAGTGGAATCCAGGACACGCGTTTCGTCCTATTTAGGACCCGTCAGCTGGATGTACCTGCATCTCAGAGTTGATGTTCACTCTGGGACTCAAACCCAGTACCTTTCTCTTCAAATACCATCACGTTATCCACTCGGCCACTGAGTTTTGATAGCCACTTGCTTGTGCGATGGGGGGTGAAGTTTAAATTCACTTAGTACTGTGTGGTTGAATCTTCCCATTGACGTTTAGGACTGCAATTGATCAGTCACTAATTAGCATATCTGCATACTATGCATGTTGCCTCGATTTAACCCTAATTCACAAGCATGGTAAGCACAGATGGATAGAGGCTAGCGGTAGGTTCGAGCTCCAGAGTAAACATGAACTCTGAGATACAGGTACATCCAGCTGACGAGTCCCAAATAGAACGAGACGCACGTCCTGGATTCTACCGCTAGCCGCTATCCATCTCTGCTCACAATGCATGTGAATTAAGGCTATATCGAGGCAATACGCACAGTATACACATATGCCAATTAGAGACTGACAGTTGCAGTCCTAACAAATCGATGGGAAGATTCAAACAAACAATACTAAGTGAAGTTTATATTTAAGAAATGAATAAACAACAAGTATATGAAAACGTTCATTTTTATTTGAAATTGTCTTTTTCTTATCTTTTCTATGGTTTGCTAATATATCATAATTTTGATAGCGAATATATATTGTTTGAGTGATAAATGTCTTCATGTAGTTTCATAATACTGATTATTACAAATAAGGCACTGATACGTAAATGTATTGGCATTGATTAAGTGTTCTTTTTTGATCAAAATCGATTATAATGAGTGATTGCCCTTCGAGACGTTTATCGATCAGTAGAATTGTAATGAATAAATATTCAATAATGAATTATTTAAGAAAAGGATGAATGAATTTTCGTCAATAAAATATACTAACATTAGTGAGTAAACTAGGGATAAACGAGATTATCAGTGTTATCAAAAATACTGTGTTTATATACCAAACAAACTGACCACATCGTACCATAAAATAGAAAATAACATTTGTACAAGATCCATTTAAATGTGGCTGTGAATTTGGGAGGTAATAAATAATAGACTAGGGATAACTCAAGAATGATAAATCGTATAGTAATAGTTCATAGGTCAAAACAAAGATTACAATAAGGTGGATATGGATATGAATAGTTTAGTTAGTTAATATTTATACAATAAAAATATACACATAGTGTTGGTCCATAAACAGATCTCAAAGTTACTATTCACTATTCTTATCGGGACATAGCAAGCAGTGAATTACTTTTCATGATGTTACTGTCATGTTAATCATCTCACCTTCAAATAGCCTAGTCGGACTCTAACGATCAATGTTTCTAAATTCAATGGATTCATAATTTTTCACGACTATCATTTATCGTTGCTAGTTGAACAAAACAGATGCCCTGGATTTCTTGAGTATAAATTGTTGTCTAGTTGCAATTTTGATGTGTAGTTTAAATAAATTCATGGTATAACCGTTTGTTTTTGAAAGAAAATGCTAACAGCAAGAATAAACTATTATAATTTGTTAAAACTGAAATGATTTAGTAAATATTAGTTCCGAATTGTTTAATTAAAAGTATAGTAAACTTAAAAGAATAAAATACTTTCTAATAAGACACAATAACAAATTAGTTACATAATGTAATTTCAATTAGATGTACGTCAGAAATAATGAGTTAACAAAATAAGTATTTCTTCGGTTTAAGGTAAACAACAGCGATTTTTCAACAAAATGTTACATTATTAAGTATTATGTTCGTTACGTAACTAACGCAGAATATGGTGTACAACTACCACACTCGAACGTTTAGAACCCCACAATCACAAATCAGAAGATAGAAGAAAGCTGGAGCAGTGTTTGTTGAGTAAGAATCAAAATGTACAGAAAATCATGGATATTTATATATATAAGCATTTGTTATATCAGCATTATAATTCACTTAATCCTCAAAACAGGCCTGTTATGTTATTGTCTAACTGTAGCATGCCGTGTTGATATTCTAGAAAGCTCCATCATGTTCTGATTTGATGGAAACTTTTCGGTCCCTTTCGGGCTTCTGGAGGCCCCGTTGTAGTTCTCAGAAGCCATCTCAACATTAAGGTACATTAGTTTTTATGTTTATCGAATTTACTTTATGATCTGTTGAGAAATTAAATGTGGTAGAGCCTCAATGTGTTCAGAAATTGCAAGTATCGAATAACAGTTAAACAATCATTTAATGGTTAATGAAAAGTAATAAGGAAAAATATAATATGCAGTATAGTGCAGAAGTTAATTGTTGAATAAATTAATATGAAAAATTCAAATAAAAAATTGGTTGGTACTAATAAACTATCTGCTAGTGTAAAAGTGTTTTAAGAAGTTAGACATTAACACCATTGTATGCCGACTCAGAGGTCTAGAGGTTAAGCACTCGCATACGAAACTGAGATGACCTGGGTTCGAATCACTTGAGGAGGGATCATGGATGCGAACCGCTGAGGAGTCCCATAATAGGACGAAACGTCTGTCCATTGCTTCCAAGTTTCCCATAGTGGTCTAGCTTCAATTGATTCATGATGTCAACTATTGAAAAATGATTATTGAGAATAAATAATAAATGCAGAATTATACACTGGAACAATAAACTAAACCTACTATTTTCACATACTAAGTTTAGGTCTGAATGGTTATATCATTGGTTCTATGTTGTGTGGACAATTCGCATATATATTTTCTTTGATGATTTTAATAGAAAGTTCTACCAAAGTGTGATAAGTAAAGATAATAAGATATTCAATAAACAAACTGTTCCTTAACATCCATTTTTTGGATATCAAAGTCTAGTAATGATGATTTTGAAAAGAGTGTTCCATTGTGTATCTTATGTGTTACACTCCATAAAAGCTAGAAAAACCCAGATATAAACTGACCTAGCTTGATTTAGGATTTTAACAATAAAAAACGATTTATTAAATTAATTTACATTATATAATATATAAATGTTAATGAATTGGTACTTTAGTGACTATAGTTTAACCAATGACCAGTAAAATATGAAGGTCAATCATTGATTGATTATTATAGATTCAAACTACATTTATTTCAACATAATTTTGTCAGTTTACTCGGTATTGTTTGTTTGAATCTTCACGTTGATGTTTAGAATTGCAATTGATCAGTCTCTTATTGAGATATGAAACTGATCAATTGTAATCCTAAATATCAATGGAAAGATTCAAACAAACAATACCAAGTGAATTTGAACTTCACTCCATTTGCACAAACATGTGTTTATCAGGACTCAGTGACTAAGTGGATAACGTGATGATGTTGCTTGAAGCGAATGCTACAGGGTTCGAGTCCCAGAGTGAACATTTACTCCGAGATGCAGTTACATCCAATTGATGAGTCCCAAATAAGATGAGACGTTCATCCTGGATTCCACTACTAGCCACCATCCATCACTAATTCTCATTTTATTGGGTTCAGTTGTCCTGATTGTTTAAATAGATAAGATAATAATTAATTAGTATATCTCATCATATACTGAAGATCAGTTTACTTAATAATAATATACATTATTTTAATTCTTATCGAAATAATGATGATAATATATTTTGAGTTTTGAATATAACATTCGAAAAATAAACATAAAAAAAATTTAAACTGAAGTGCCTTTATAAAACAATCATTAATTGAACTTAGATCAGAAAAATTAATTATTCATTATTGAAAAGCCACATTACAACATAACGAGCTATTTTACATATGATTATACATAACTTTGGTTAAATTGAAATGGTCAAAGTTTAATTTATACTTTATCTATTTGATGTTGATAGTATGTCTTGAAAATAGAATCTTGAAAACAAAAAAATAAATTACAGTTGTAAACAGAAATGAATAATGGCAATATCTAGGCAATCTGTTCAGAATGTACTTTTGTAGTGTGGTCTACTTATATCCATATAAGTAGTATATGGTGATGATCAGGCATAGAATGTATTTTGGCAGAAGACCGATAAGGAAAGATAAGAAATGAAGTGCAATCGGTATGAAATTAGAGGAGATGGATCGATATTTACAGGAGGAACAGTGAAGATTGAAACAACTGATTGTTATTTTGCAAATTAACTGTTTACTGTATGGTAATCAGATCTTAGTAAGATAGTTTGTAATTTGTACTTGAATACATTCGATTGTCCCCAACTAGTGTTTTGTTCACTGAAATATTACCATTAAGAGATTGGTCAATTATAGTCCTAAACATTAATAGGAAGATCCAAACAATCAATCTAATATGAATGACATTTTTTTAAAAAGAAAATATTATAGTTTATCATTAATGTTCTTAAATCAGATCGGAACGAAAAATTATTGACCATAATAGGATGTTTCCTTGAGTTCTAGTGAGAAGCAGTGACCAGTGGAGTTCAACCAAGTCTGTTGTAGAGATATCAACTCACTGAAGACAATTGGTGATGGTTGCTCAAACATCGTGGATTGGTTGAAGTTAGACATTAACATCGTTGGATGCCGGCCAGCTTAATGGTCTGTCGGTTAAGTGCTCAGGCGCGAAACTGGTAGGTCGT